TTCCTATTTGTTGATACAATTAGGGTAAATTACATTTAACTGAGGTGGTGGTGATGTAATAGGTTTTCAGACATTTGGTGGTGGTTGTGAAGTATGAGAAATTACTTTCTTTACCTCTCTATTCATCTAGGCTGAATTGTAATTGAATTTGACTGATTTTTTGGTGGAAATTTGGTTGTTAGATAGGTTAATTAAATTGAGAAAAATCTCTCTAAAGTAGGTGTAGATGAAATGTCGAATTGTTTGCACGCCTATGATGGTGGTGGTGGTGGTTCTGATGAGGTCAATTGGCCAACATAGTGAAAATGGGGAAGATGACTTTTGGTAGAGAAGAGACATAAGGCTATCATAGTCATTTATCCAATTATGTCATTAAAATGACACGATAGACTCTGATAAATGGGAGGGCGGTGTTATTTTTCAAATAAGAGGGATCTAGTTGTTATTTGACCAACCAGTAGGAATGGTGGATGTAATTTACCCATATAAATAATATGTCGAAAAGGAAGTAAATTACACCGTTAGTCCATGAGATTTGTCACTTTGTTGCATTTTTCGTCCCTAAAGTTCTAATTTGGTTAGTTTCTTTCTTTATGTTAACACACTAATTGATTTTGGTCTTTTACCCCTAATTACCATTAAAAAAAGTGACAATAAAAAGCACATGAGAGGCACGTGATGGGAGTTGGAAGGGAAATGGAGCCATTTAACATCCCTTGCCGGCCATTTAACGTCTTCTTCCTTCCTTTGTCTTGCACTAGCTAAATGACTCCATTGGTGGTGACATTAACATTTGAGCAACGCTATTAGGACATAATTTATTGACTTAATTTGTTGATTTAATTCACTTTAACCTTTGGATTGACTGTGTAGGGTCTATCAAACATTGAAACTTGATGTTGATCCAATGATTCTACTGAAATCACATCATTATGTCAACAAATTAAGTTAAATTTTTAAGTCTAAATAGTATTACTCTTAAAATTTTAAACATGGTTTGGTTGACTCATTTGCTTAGGTAGGTTTCTTATACCCATCAAAACGTTAGAAAATTCTTCCACAAAGAAAAATTGGACATGCTAGCACTCATTTTTGTCAATCTGAACACATAAAATGTTTTTAAAAAGGTGGCCTATCCCTATCTTATGGCATGCCGTTTGATTTTTTCTTCTGCGGATGAACAAAAGGATCAGCTTTGGCGTTGGCCACTGTTCTCCTTGGTTTTTGCATAAGAACTTCCCCACAAGTTTCTTGAGGGAGAGTTGAGGTGTTAATAGAGACGAGTTACTCGAATTTGATTTAGATAAAATTTGATTTGAACTTGACTCATGTTCAAAACGAGCTGAGTTTAAATAATTTTTTAGAAAAATAAGCCAAAAAGACTCAAGCTCGTTCATACATAAAATAGTTGAGGTACTTCGGTTTGGCTTGAGTTCAAAACAATCCGAGCTTCAACAATTTTTGTAGGCTCGTTTAAAAAAATGAGCTCGATAAGTTCAAGCTAAAACTCATTAAACTCCGCTCGATTAACACCCCTATGCGACAAACATTCCAAGAGTGTGAGATGAGAGGAGTAATATTTATCCGACAAATTATTAATAATATTATTGATTTACGGTGCTTATAATAAACTTATTTATTAAACTAGTTAGATGATTGCAACACAATTTGGAGACTTAACGACTATAGTCAGTTGTCAGTGGGTCACAACATTAAATATAATTTATTATTAATTTAGTGGTCACAATACATTAAATCATAACAAAATTACTGAATTAGGTTTGTTAATTGATCAATATTTATCAAATTTAATAAGATGATTGTTTCATCCAATATAACAGATTGAAAAATGAATTTGGGTTATTGGATAATTATTTTCACGAATTATTTATACAATCCTTTTTAATAAGTGATAGTTTTGCCAAAATGTAAATGAAATGACTAGTTATGTCATTGCGTGTGATTGTGGAAGAGATGAAATGGGGTGTACCATATAGCTGATGTGAGTGACGAGAAATTGTATTCATCAATTACGTTCTTCAGTTTAGATAGTTTAAAATAAGGTTGTTGATTCTTTTTTTATCGTTAAAATCGAACTTGTTGATCCAGTTACCTATTACCCGCACCCAACAACTAAAGTAATCCTCATGCTGTACTTCGTTGTAGTGAGACATTGAGGGGCTGTTTGGTATACTTTTTTTTGAAGAATTTGGATTGGTTTGTCCAAATCCTTTTAAACCTAAAAATGAAATTCATAATTTAATGTTATTCATACCTATGTTTGGTATGCGTAGAGATATATGACTATTATGATAATATATTTGTATTTAAATTATTATTGTGTCTCTTAACCAATTTGTGTAGATAAGATATACAAAGGTATAAATGTCATTTGCATGTTAAACCTATTAACTCACAAACGAAATTCATCCCCCTTTGGGTTTCATGACCGGACCAGGTTTCAAAACTTGGACTACATTTGTGTTTGTCAAACATAGGTTTTGAGAGAGTTTATTGTACAATCAATGTTCCAAAATCCTCCCAAACCTACATACCAAACAGGTCCTAGTGGATTAATTGTCTACTATTTAAACTGGTAATTGAAACTTTTAAGAACATTTTCATGGGAGTTTAAGGATATGAACATTTGTTTGAACAAGCCATGGTAAGTTTTATTGGCGATCCACATTAGATGTAAAAGAAAGAGTTTTTTTTGGAGGTCGATCTTTAGGCCCAATAGGATTTTTAAAAAGATAAATACTCATTTGTCAATTTATTTTTGGATTAGACCTCTTTTGAAAAGTCAAAATAATGAACATAATTAAGGTCGTTTAAAAATTGCAAAAATAACAATAATGTCATCACATAATTGAAACACTTATTCTAAAAACCTACATCATCATAATGCACTCTCTTCTCCATAAAACACATATCGTCAAACAAATACACTAAAATATAGTTAATAATATAGATCATCATACAGGTATATTAAAATATAATTAATAAAATAGATTATCAGATAGGTATACTAACACCCTCCATTAACACAAATCGTCAGACAAATAAACTACAATACAATTAATAAATACAAATCGTCAGACAGGTATACAAATCATCAATAACAAATGCAAAAAAAGTAACTTAAAAAATACATCAAAATTTCTCTATTTCGCAAAATTGCTTTATGAGTGATTGGCAAGGAAAAAAAACAAGAGAAACTTGTGTTTGTGTGCTTGTGTTGAAATATGTAAATACCAGACAGAGATGAAAAAATGAGATCAAATCTGCCTAAATTTGAGAAGGATTGAAATAAGTTCTTTGGTTGCTTAAGTTCATCACCTCAGCACTCTACCCATTTGCATTTAGATATTTGTTTAGATTTATTGTATGATGTTCTCTGAATGCTGGAAAGAGAAAGAGGAAGAGGGTTAAGAGTGAAATCACCTCCTTTTCTTGGTCAATCGATCCTCACTCAGATAGTGTTTGTGTTCAAATGAGCAAATAGATGCACACAAGTATATATATATATATACACACACGAAAGCATAAGAGAGAAAAAAAAAACTAGTTGTATTTTAAGTTAAAATCACATAATAAAAACAAAATGGGTAATAAAAACCCATTAATTATGCAACCCCTCAAATAAGCGCTTATACAAGAACCACATCCCACTTTTTTAAATACACTGAGGGCCTTTTTTTATACTAAAAATACGATTAGACTAAAATTAATTTACAAATCAAAGGAGGGACGTTAACTTAATTAACTATAAAAGGAACATCCATGCTTGGGCCACAATGGGCCTGTAGTGGCCATAGTTAACAACCCGGCTGTTTGGGCCAGAATCAACACCATATATTTAATTGGACTAACCAATTTTGCGTTGGAAAAAATAGAATTAATTTAAAAACTTTTATTTTACGGATTTAAAATGTAAACGAACAAAATCCTAATAGAGGTAATGGAGTGATCTAATAATAAGTTATCACGATTTCCAACATCGTTTCATTTTACGCACATAAACACCACCACCACCGTCACCGATCAATCCTCGACCGTTATCCTTGAAACTTATTAAAAAAAATTATTTTATTGTAGACGGAAAAAATCTTAATCAAGGTAAAAGAATGATCTAAAAATAAGTGATCACGACTTTCAACATGATCTCCATTTACACACAACAAACAACCCAACCAACCCCCCAACGCACCTCCACCTCTTGAAACTTTGTTTGACCAAACTATAACAACCCAAGGGGTGGCTTGGTGCATTTAAGTTGACGTCTGAACGTAGGAGAATTATTTTTGACAAAGTACAAAATGTCAACCCAGATTTGAAATGTCAAAGTCAAAGTTCAATGGTCAAAGTTATGGATAAAAGAAAGGTGTTTGATTTATGGACCGTACAACTGCCTTGACCACTCGTGCGTGTACAAGAGGGAACAAGTCAGAACCCACCTGGCCTCTTGTAATGATAATTACAATAGACATCTCTATAAATTCTTTAATTACACTTTTTATTTGAAAAATCACGATATATCTTCAAATCCTCATAAACTCTAATGTTCTGTTTGATAAGAGGGACGAAAAATTGTGCAAGAGTGATTTGGATCTTTTATAGCTTATCTTTAATGACTTTGATTTTTTCATCTATTCAATCAAAGGTAATAACCTTCTAACTTTTCAACGCCTCTTTAATCGGTTTAAACTTTTGGACCATTTATTTTGCATGATTCGAACCATCTAGTTTGAGCCACTGTTTACCACCTTCTTCTTTAGTAGTGTGACCTCACCCCTAATCTCTATGGCTTGCCACTCCTATATATTAATTGAATAGATTTTTTATCATTGGAGGAAAGGTTTTCTCACATGTGTTTGGTACGATGAATGAAAAGTTTAAAGAATTAATTTTTTATTGTTTGATATTGAACGAAAAGTGAAACGAACGAAAAAAATGTGTAAATTTATTATTATACATTTACATATAAAAATATTTTTTTATTACAAATACATTTTTAAAGATTCAATACCGCTCTAATTAGTTATAAAAATAATATAAATATGTATACAAAAAATAATAGCCAAAAATCATACATAGAAAAAAAAAATTGTACTACTGTCAACTTGTGGTGTATATATATATAAAACAAATTGTAACATGATCGTCTCATTTTTCTTTTGTTGTAGGGTATGGCAATTTTTAACTTTTTTATTTTCAAAATGGTCCTACCGTTGAGTATTGTTTTCTTTTTTATTTTGAAAATGTACCGTCGAATATCGTTTTTTTTTTTTTACTGGCCTTTGCCACTTCAAACAGACGTTTTGGTCTTTGGGCTAGGTTCGGGTACTTCACCCTTTCAATTAGTAATTACAATTTCATTTAAGTTTATTTTTCCGACTGTCACATTAACATAAACTCAATAAATTAAGAAGGACTCGACAGTGAATGATGCACCAAAATCTACTCATTTTCCCTCTCTATTTGCACAATAATCACAATGACAATGTTACATGAAACAACAAATAAACCCATTAAAGAACAGAACTCCCTCATTCTGCAAATTAGATTCATCCCAAACAGCCCTTAATCTACTTTTTTTTCCCTTTTTACCATTTTTTTTAGTCATTTTCTTTTTTTCCGCGGCCTATACACTCACGATTGTGTGGCCAGTAACTATTCACCACGTGGAAACACAGTCCACTTGCCCCCCAACTCGACCACGTCCCACTTTCACATACACTGCGCCACAGCCTTCCTCCTCCTCTTCGGCGACCCACTTTCCGACGACGCCGTGGATGATGAACGATCCGGCGACGTTGATGACCTCTTCGACGTAATTCTTACTGGCTCCGGCTCACCGGAATTAATCCTAAGTGGAAAATTCAACAGCGCACGTGACCCGCGCATGCGAAACGCCGCCCTATCATAGGCCAACGCCGCATCCTCGGCCGTCTCAAATGTCCCAAGCCACAGCCTTTGTCCATTCTTCGCCGGGTCTCTTATCTCCGCCGCAAACTTCCCCCACGGCCGCCGCCTCACCCCTCTGTAATGCTTCCCCTTCGATGGCACCACAGCCGGCGCCACTGTCTTCTCTGCTACCATTGCCGCAGTCTCCGGCTCCGCCACTGCAGCGAATTCCATCTTTTCCGGCAATTCAGTCAATTCTGTCACAAAATCGGCCTCTGCTTTGACGGTGGTGGTGGCCGGAGGGAAGGGAAGCCACCCATCGTTGACGGAGTCACAGAGGAAACCGTAAACCATCATGTCATCTTGAAGGGGTAATTGTCCCCAGTTTTCATTCAAGCAAGGGGAGAAACTGCTACCAAAGCTGGTGCTCCGGCAATATTCCGCCGGGAACTGGCCGGAATTTATTGTTAAAACTTCGGAATCGTCGAGTAAGAAACGGCTAATCGAGTCCAAAAGTGCTAAGTCAGAATCAAAATCACCATTCTCGAAGAACATCATCGTGAAATCAAATATAAAAGCTGAAATTCTCTTTGGGTTTGTGTGGATTGGAGGGTTACTTACTACTTCAACCTTGTTGAACCGTAGAAGGTATAGAAAGTTTGGATATTTGAGAGAAAAAGGATTGTGTTGTGGGTTTAAATAGTGGTTGAGTTTGGAAAAGAGATTCACGCACTTAGTCGAAACCTTTCAAACAGATAAATCAATAATTCAACTGTTTGGATTTCGCTGAGAGGATTGAGACTTTCTTTCTTTGAAACTTCTGTACCTTCCAAGTTGGGGAAGCGGTCCTTTTCAGTCACGTGGTGAATATATTGAGTTTAGAGAGATTACAAGTCATAATGTCATATTGTCATTTGTTCTTACACTAATATTTTTCTCATAAATGCTAAAGGATTTGATTAATGTAATTCTAAAATTCACTATTTTAATGGGTTTTATAATTTAATAAAAATTTGTTATTTTTGTAGACGATTTATCGGCCTTTACCATTGATAGGAGTATTTTTACCATTATTGTAATAATTAATTTATAACTTTTATTCGATACAAAAAAAAATTACCACATTTGTGAATAATTTACCACATTTATTGGTAGTTTTAGCATTGTTATAATAATTATTTTTCTCATTTTTTTGGTATCACAATAGTGATAAAAATACTTAAAATAATAGTAAAAATATCCACAAATTAATCTGTCATTTCAACTACTCCCTCCGTTTTTAAATATCTGTCGTTTTACCCTATTTTTTTGGTTCAACAATATCTGTCGTTTTATGAAACCAAAATATAATTAATATTTTTTCTTCTAAATTTACTCTTATCTTTGTTTTCTAATAAGTATTTAATAGATTAAGTGTAAACTAAGTGCATTTCATATTTTTTTTCTTCTCAATGCGTATTGAATAAAAGTATTTTAGTCTTGTGTAATTATTTTTTATTCATACTAGAGCTATTTAATAGCTTCCTTAATCCCTGTGCAAAAACCTTAAACGAGATATTTAAGAACGGATGGAGTATAATTTTAGCTCAAAATCTTGGTCAAATTAACATTGTTGTACTTTTTAGTCCACCGGAAAAGGGTTTGCTGTGGATTCTTTATGCATATTTTTCTACTTGCGATCAATTCTACATTTTTCCATTGTGGTTAATTTTTTCAAAAAAAAAATTCTGTTTTTTTTTTTTTTGCCCTTTTATGAGAGCAACCAGTTAAGCCAAATTCCTCGGGTTTGTTGGGTTGGCGAGAGACCGGTGGATTAATGATAGTGTTAATTACAAAACAACTTCTTTAAATTTTGGATCAAGTTACAATTAATTTTCTATGGTTTGACTTGATTTACAATTAATTTTCTATGATGTTTTATATTAATTTTTACAGTCAAAATTAACGGTTTGACTTGATTTATAAGTATTTAAATTTTAAAAAGATAAATTGTTGAAATTAAAATCAGAGGGAATTGATTGAACCTAAACTTGAAGGGGTATTTTATAATTAACTCTAAATGAGAAGATTGGACAAAGGACATTCTTCCCAAATCAAAGGATGAGCAAATACTTTATTCACCATTATATTTGTTGTCAAACATGAGAGAAGATAAATTAGGCCATATTCTAATCCAAACTTATTCTAAAAACCAAACTAGATAGGTATGGATTAGTCCTCCTTAATTCAATCATACGCAAATGGATGTAACTTACCAAACAACCCCAAGTGCTTATGTGAGGCAAGTTATCCAAATAACAAGAAGGGCTTCGGATTATGGTTTAAGAACACAATTTAAAGAATACAAAAACATACTCGACATCGTCAAATGCTATAAAGAAATACATGTGAAATGCTAAAGAGAAGAAGTTAGATATAGTGAGGGAATTAGGTAATGTTTGTGACTTTTTGAAATTGTATGAGATTGTATATTTCAATTTGAAGACTGATAGAACCAAGGCATTCTAGACATTTCGAGCATAAGGATAAGTTTGAACCATTAGGAATCATTCTGAATACTCAATTTGTCTGTATCGAAATCGATCAATATTTTGAACCATATTGATCCAGTCTAATTTGTATTATTATCGTAAATGTTAGACTAAGAAATTAACCCTGTTTTGGTATAATTTTAATCATGTTTTAAAATTGTTGTTGCAATACAATTAATCTACATTTCATTTCAAGCAAATTTTCAAGCAGTATAAGATTTAAAACCGCTTCTGTTATAACTTGAACAACTAATTTATTCTTTCCCACAAGGCTCACAGATTATGAGAGAGTGGTATCATTCCTTCCCCAATATAGTACATTGATTCTAGACAATGAGCAATGGTTTCAAGTGGGTCCAACTTCTAATTTCCTTCCTATCTTGTATTTAAATTTATGGGTCCCATATTTCTTTTATGTCTACTTCAAGGAAGGGGGTGCCACGGAGAGATTTGCCACTTGCAAAAACAAGTGAGCCGGTATGATCCACACGTCCGGCTGCTGAAAACAACATGTCCATCATCATTGATAGGCAAGTTCTGTAACGGATTTAGATTGAATTTTGTATAATTTAAATTTTCTTTCAATTTATGAATTTTGATCAGAATTTGCACAAATTTCGTGTTTATGATCGATATCCGTTTATATCAACTAGAAATGCACTACGTACATTACACGTAAATAATTTTTATACACAAAAATTAATAAAACATATTAAATATATATGTATCTGAATTAAATATCATTTTAAATTTACAAAACTTAATTTTTCATTGTTTGTAATCCATTATAAGATTGTAAAAACTTTATATGTTCTAACTTAAAGAAAAATATATTTTAAAAAATATTTAAAATTCTATTTTTTTTTAATAATTTTGTAATTGAGATTGATTTTTTAATGATGTTTGAGAAATTAAATTTTTTGAAATTCATTTTATTAGTATTCCACTTATAATTCTTTGAATAAAATAAAAGTAATTATTAGTATATTAATCATATTAACATCTTACTATAATTAGGTATTGGTCAGATGAATTGAAATAAAATTTGATATACTGCTCTAAAAAATCTAAAAATTTCAAATTTTCCATAAAATTTCGAAAAAAAATTTAAATTCTAAGCTATAACTTTAGAATTGATCACTTAAGTGCAGGTTGTGCGAAGTAATATAATACTTGGAAGTCCGAGATCGAACAACAGGGAATTAAGAAAAATTTATAACATACAGAAAAATAAAAAAAAATATTTTGAAAAAAAATTGTTGTAGAGATTTAGAAAATATTAAATTGGTTTTTTAAAATAATAATTAAAAATATTAGAGCGTCAAGTACTCCTTCTTAAATACATACAATAATAATTAAAAATTTAATTTTTAAATCTAGACAAGAATCAAATGTCGGTTAATTCAAGTCACCAAATTTAGTAATAAGACCCCAAAAAATACTTTTGTTTATAATTAAAAATTTATTTAGGAATCTAAGCAATACTCCAATTATATTATTATATGAAATAATTATAATTAATTTAAACATGAAATAACCAATTATTTGATTCGGATAAAAATTCAACCAATCAATGTATATAATGATCGCCAATTAGACTACCCACTTGGATAACTGGTCAAAATACCAATGTGTCCCAATAATTAGATAAATATTAAAAACTGATCTATTTTCAAAGCCTAAAAGTCATCATCCTATTAAGTTGGATTGAATTCCAAAAAGTAAACTTTGTAACAGAATAGAGTTGAAATTTTCATTTCAAAATTCAAGATCTCATTAGCCACACAAGTAATAAAGTTAAAATTTTAAAATACCCCTTTTTTGTTTTCGATTATGACGGACCAAACTTGGAGCTTTAAATAATTGAAATTTGGGACATAAGGTACATTTGAAGCACCAATGGTCCTTTGGTTTAATAGTATTCCTTGTCTCATAAAGATTTTGTCTTATTAAGGTCAATGGTTCAAGTCTCTCAAGAACTGAGCCATTAGTGGGTTACGATGAGATGAAGTCTAGAGTAAAAAAAAAAATTTACTACTTTCATACAAGGCAACGAGTACCAGTCTACTAAATCACTAATCATTAACCTAATTTTTTAAAACTCTTAAGGCATAAGCCCCAATAATTATACAAAGAAATAATTTTTCAAGGTTTTCTATTCCTATTTTGATCGGAACTGAAAAGGAATTACGCCAACACCAAGCACCTCGATTTTGTCTGTATCGTCCATTCGTCCTCTAGTTCTACTCGACTAATCCTCTTCCAAGAACTATAAACAGGGATTACACCTAAGCTGTGTGAGGTACCATGACTCATTCTTTATCTCCTTGATCATATATTCTGACATTATTTGAGTTATTTTCTCTGATTTTTTGTTGATTATTTTTTAACTAGAATAATAGAATCATTGTTGTCTTGTTGATTTGCTTCTCTGGTTTGTTTCTCTAATTTTCAGTCTTTCTCTACTTTATTATGATGAAAAATTAAGAACGAAAAAAGAGCAAAAATAATTTTTTTGTTCTTCAAAAAGAAAAGTGGAGAAGAAACATCAAATTCTACTCTTGAACCTTTGAGTCTAGTAGAAACATCAACAAGTGTTGATGTTCTTATGATTCCTGCGCTTGTTGAACCTCAAGGTCTTCAACCTCAAACAAAAGTTCCAAAGATTTCTTTTGATGAAAATGAACTTCAATGAGATTCCGCATTGTGTATTTCGATATAAAAACATCTTGCTTATAATCAAGATGAAGTTAGACGTGCTTATATAAAGTGGGAATCAAATCAACCTATCTTGGTTAAGTATCCGAGGACTAAATTGGAGTTCAAAATTGAAAATTTCAGGAAAGTTGGTACAAAAAATTTCCATGGGTAGAATATTCTATTTCAAAAGATACGACATTTTTGCTTTTTGTGTTTTGTTTTTCAAGGTCGTGAACCTCTATATCCTGCATTTACCGTTGATGGTTTTAGTAGCTGGAAGAGAGTGAATAATGGGGTCAAATGTGTTTTCTTGTCACATATGGGAGGTCCTGCTTCCACACACAATAATGTTGTGTGAAATATTGAGGTGTTGAAGAATATATCAGTGCACATTGATAAA